GAAGAGGGATTGCTTGCACACTGTTGGTGGGAATGTAAATTAGTACAACCACAATGGAGAACAATTTGGAGATTCCTTAAAAAAGTAAAAATTGACCTACCATATGATCCAGCAATTCCACCACTGGGTATATACCCCAAACAAAGGAAATCAGTATATGAAAAAGATATCTACACTTCCATGTTTGTTGCAGCACTGTTTGCAATAGTTGAGATTTGGGAGCAACCTAAGTGTTCATCAACAGACATATGAATGAAGAAAACATGGTACATATACACAGTGAAGTAATAATCAGTCATAAAAAAAGAATGAGATCCAGTCTTCTGCAATAGCATGGATGGAACCGGAGATCATTATGTTAAGTGAAATGAGCCAGGCACAGAAAGACAAACGTCACATGTTCTCACTTATTTGTGGAATCTAAAAATCAAAACAATTGAACTCATGGAGACAGAGATTAGAAGTATGGTTACCAGAGGCGGGGAAGGGTAATAGATGATGGAGAAGAGTGGGGATGGTTAATGGGTACAAAGAAAGAATGAATAAGGTCTATTATTTGATAGGACAACAGGGTGACTGTAGTCAATAAGAATATAACTGTATATTTTGCAATAACTAAAAGAGTATAATTAAATTGTCTGTAACAAAAGGATAGATACCTGAAATGATGGACACCCCATTGTACATGATGTGATTATTACACTTTGCATGTATGTATCAAAACATCTCATATGCTCCATAAATATATACACCTACTAGGTACCCAGAAAAATTTTAAAAATTTAAAAAGACTCAGCAAACACAAAAAAATTACATTCAAAAAGACAAAAAGGGTTCATAAGATTATAAAATATGTATCTAGTCTAGACTTGTATGTACATCCTAACAATGCCTCAAGTATACAAAGCAAAAATTGTCAAAAGTATAAGAATTTGACAAATCCACAATTACAGTGGAAGATTATAACTCTCTCGGTAACTGATAGGTCCAGCAAACAAAAAAATTAGAGAAAATTTAAACAACATAATTAAATTTAATTAACAGAACACTACATGCAAAAATTAGATACACAATCCTACCAGGCACACATAAAACACTAGTTGATCATGTTCTCTAAGACATAAAGCAAGTTTCAACAAACTCTAAATAATCATTATCATATAAACAATATTGTCTCTTAAATGGAAAACAGTAACAAAATATTAAGCTAAAAAACAGCCATATACCATGACTTAGTTTCTAAATACTGTCTCCTTTAACGATAACAGAGGTCTGTAGAGAAATGAGTAATGGGGTAGGAAGTACACAACAAGCCTGAAAGTAAGGAAGTAAAGAAATTTTAAAGTAAGTAAAAATATGTGTTGAACAATGATGAGACATGTCAAAAGACAGGAGAGCCAACTTTAATGGGCAGCCACTCACTAAAACAGAGACAATTCGAGCATTAAAATAAATAACAATAGGGTATTTAAAAAATAAAGTAAAAGTCTACGTGCCCAAACTAATAAATAAATAAATGGAGAAAAACCTTTACCTTGATGTAGAATATAAACTAATAAATGTAGTAAAAATGATGGAGTTTGAAAATTACCATTTTGCATTCATCATAGTAATATCTGATTCAGTAAAGAAATATCAATGGATTTGAAAACTAGTGGATGATAGTATAATGAGGAACAGGATAGGTACATAGTCTCAAAGTATTCCCAGCAAAATCATTAATTATAAAAAGGAAAATGATAATTGTAAAGTGGATTAATCTAGCAACTATTCACAATGTTAACTAAGTAATCAAAGTTAACTTTATTCCTAAGGGGTCAAACCAGCATCATGTGCCACCAATATGATGTCCTGAGAAGAACACATTACTCCTTTGGTGTTTTTGCTCATATGCATACTCTAAATATAATAATGGGGATATGGCACACAAATTTACATTGAAGGACATTCTATGAAATAAGTGTCCTATATTTACACAACTATCAATTGTTGATGTGTGATATTGTGATATATATATATATATATATAGGTTTTTGTCCATGGTTCCTGGCTCATAACTCCCAAAGCTCTTGTAATTTCCTAAGTGACTAAAACAATAGGCATATATTTTGTTTAAGTATTTGGTCTTTTGTCTTTGGTTCCTGAAGCAGCTTTGAAACAGCTTCAGAGAAATAAAGGTGAGAGACAGTCAGAGTGTGTGTGTGTGTGTGTGTGTGTGTGTGTGTGTGTGTAATGTATCTGTGTGTGGATATGTGTATACATATGTATAATGTTGGAGCATTTTAGGCTTCCGAAATCAGAATCTCTTTTTGACTTTCTCCGGCCCCCTTTCACCTTCTTTTCTTTCTCCCGAAGGCAAGCCATAGAAACTAAAAATACACTCTAAACTTCACCTGGCTTTCTGTCTTGGAGCTGGCCATGAAGTAATTCTCTGACCTACCTAGTTTGACTATGGGTCATAAGACTCCCATTTCAGAAAGAGTCCTGCCCCATACCCAGGAGGAAGGAACGCTGCACAAAGAAGCTAAGAAGAATCTGAATAGGCAAGGCTTGCTGAGTTTCTCCATTGAATCTATTGGTATTAGATCATACCCTTTTAGTCCAATCACATTTCTACATGGTTTTCCATGCTTCAATAATGCCAATCGAATGAAGTCTTCATAAAAAGCACAAGAGGACTAAGTACAGCTGAATTTGTGGAGGCTTATAGAAGGATGAACAAGAACTCATCCACATGCCGGGAGGGTGGCATACCCCAACTCCACAGGAATGGAAGCTCCTGTGCTCAATACCCTTCTAGACCTCACTACATGCATCTCTTCATCTGGCTGTTTATTTGTAGCCCTTAAAACATCCTTTATGAATAAATAGGTACATGCAAGTAAGTGTTTCCCTGAGTTCTGTGTGTTGTTCTAGCAAATTATGTGAGCCTGAAAAGAGAGGTTATGGGAACTCTAACTTGAAGCTGGTCAGTTAAAAGTTCCAAAGGCCCAGAATTGAAACTGATGTCTACAGTTGGGGCAGTCTCGTGGGACTATGCCCTCAATCTGTGGGATCTGATACTTTCTTCAGGGAGATAGCTTCAGAATTGAATTGGATTGGAGCACACCAAGCTGGTGTCCACTGTAGAATTGTTTACTTGCCTGTTGGTGAGAAGAAATCCCAATATATTTGGCCAAAAGTTTTCTGTGTTGGTTGTTGTCGTGCAAGAGCCAAAGAAAACCTGTTTTTTTTCCACACAATCAGTGTCAGAAGTGGGGTTGTGAGAATATAATGAGAGAAACTGAATTTGTTTTTCTACACACATAAAAGACAAAGAAAGGTCAAGGAACTTTTCTATATTAAAAACTGGAGAGGCATGACACTAAATGTAATGCATCATCTTGGATTAGCACTTTGAACAAGGAAAGAAAATAACGATAAAAGACATTATTGGGACAACTGGTAACATCAGAATATGGATTAGATTATAATATCAGAGCAATATCAAATTTCTTGATTGTGACACGTTTACTGAGAATGTATGAGGAAATCATCATTCTGAAGAAATAAACACTGACATATTAAGAAGGAGAAGGATTTGACATTTGGCAAATATTTTGACATTTGGCAAATTACTGTTTGCAAATACTGTCAAATAGGAGAGGGAGAAGGAGAGGAAGAGAAAAACAGAATGATAAGGCAAATGTGATAAAGTGTTAATTGGTGAATGTGGGTAAAGGGTATTATGGGAGTTCTTGTAATATTCCCAGTTTTTCAAGTGTGAAATTAAATAAAAATTTTAAAAACATAAGTATAAAATTCAACAATAACATCAATAAATATCAGAACCATGCTTTTGCTATGTATTTAATGAAAGAAAATGTTTTATATTGCCAAACTCTGTTGGGAAGAGCAGCCAATGTATAATTTTGTATCTTGTTATACGAAGGATTAAAAAAATTTAAAGCAGAAAAAAAGATAAACTAGAATGAGGTTAATGATTTCATAATACAATTTTTTAAAAAGGAATCCCATATGGTTAGAAATTTAAAAAAAAAAACCATGGGTCAAAAAATCGTAAGAGAAATTTAAAAATAATATTGAATGATAAAAATACTATATATAAAAACCTGTGAACTATTTCTAAGGTGGTAGAAGAAATGTATAGTTCTAAATTCTTATCTTACAGAAGAACATTGAAAATTAAGAAGCTAAAGATCTAACTCAATCAATTAGAGAGAAAGCAACAAAAGAAGAATGTTCAAAATAAAAAAATAAAATTTATTAAAATAGAAAACAAAATATCCAATGGTGAGGCTTGATGAAAGCAAAAGCAAGAAATATATTAGAAAATTGATTATTGTAATTTATCACATGGTCACACTGTGATATTAATGTCAATACATATAGATGGGAAGAAACTTCATAATATTTGTAATAAAAACTCTCAGCAGATTAGGAATATAAGGAAACTTCCCTAACTTGAGAAAGACAATCTACTAAAAAAAGTGAAACTTTTGTAGAATTTCGGAACAAAATAAGGAAATCCTCCACCAATGCTCTTGTTCCTCTTTGAACTAAGGATCCTAGCTAGCACAGTAATACAAGCTAAAGAAATATTGGAAAGAAACTGTCATTATTCAAAATACAATTAACAGATAATCCAAGAAAATCTATAAATTATTAGAATAAACAGAATTCAAGAAGGCTACAGAATATAAAATCAGTATACAAAAATGTCAATCATGTTCCCATTTACCATAAATAATTAGAAAATGTAGTTAAAAAGATGATATATTTCACAGTGATAATATAAACTATAAGGTAATTATAAATGAATCTAACAAAACATTTCTTTAGATTACATTATTATGAGTATGTTTTCATATAATGTAGAATGTAGTTTCAATTTTATCATTTGCTGCTATCTTTTTGTGTTTTGTTTGGCTACTTTTTAATGTGTCAAAACCAACTTTTTTCCTCCTCCTCCTTTTAATAGTTTTTGGTAAAGAGATTACCTTAAGAAGCACAACTTCCAGGTGCAGGACATCAGAAAAAGCAGGGTAGCATTGTAAATAATCTTCATTGCTTTCACCAAGTGAACTATTACGTGAATGCACCAGGGAAATGGAGTCATACTGCAATCCCTCAAAGACTGAAAAATAGTAAAAAAATATTGTGACATCCTTTTTTTTCTGTTTCTGTCCATCTCTCTGTCTCCTGGTCTCCTCAAGTCATTATCCTTTCCCTGCCACAATTTCAATGATATATTTCTATAAAACAGTTGTATACATAGTATTAGAAGGGATGTATTACATAGCAGTTTAGAGCATGAACTCGAATCAAATGTTCTGGGTTCAAAGCTCAGCTCAGCCACTTCGTGCTGTGTAACTTGTGGCAACTCATATAACTTCCCTTGGCCTATACAAACTTCTCTAGTAGAGTTGTGATTACATAAATTATAACATGCAAAGCCCTTTAGATAACTGGCACATAGACTGGCACTGGGCATGGTGACTCACGCCTGCAATCCTAGCACTTTGAGAGGCAGAGGCGGGCAGATCACGAGGTTAGGTGATCAAGACCATCCTGGCCAACATGATGAAACACTGTCTCTACTAAAAATACAAAAATTAGCTGGGTGTGGTGGCGCGCGCCTGTAGTCCCAGCTACTCAGGAGGCTATGGCAGGAGAATCACTTGAACCCGTGAGGCAGAGGCTGCAGTGAGCCAAGATTGCACCACTGCACTCTAGTCTGGGCGACAGAGTAAGTCTCTGTCTCAGGAAAAAAAAAAAAAAAAAAAAAAAAAGAAAGAAAGAAGATAAAATTGGCACATAAATCTTTAGTAAATATTGGCTATTATTACAATTTTCAGTGACTTGAATCACTTGGGGGGATATTATGTAGCTCTTGCACTTCCTGTTTTGCTCTTTTTCCTTCCTTCCTTCCTTCCTTCTTTCTCTCTCTCTCTCCTCTCTCTCTGTCTCTTTCTTTCTTTTTCTTTCTTTTTTTTTTTTTTTTTTTTCCGGAGTCCTGCTCTGTCTCCCAGGCTGGAGTGCAGTGGCATGATCTCAGCTCACTGCAACCTCCACTTCCCAGGTTCAATACATTCTCCTGCCTCAGCCTCCCGAGTAGCTGGGATTACAGGTGCCCACCACCATTCCTGGCTAATTTTTTTTTGCAGTTTTAGTAAAGACAGGATTTCGCCATGTTGGCCAGGCTGTTCTCGAACTCCTGACCTCAGGTAATCCACCAGCCTTAGCCTCCCAAAGTGCTAGGATTATAGGCGTGAGTCACCGCGCCCGGCTGCTCTTTTGTTTTCTGTCTCCGAAATATTCACCCTCCACCCTGCAACCCCTCCACTCCACTACCCCTTTGAATAAAGGTAAACAAGTGAGATAGAAGTAAAGCTGTATGGAATGACAGGGAGATGCTTTCAAGTAAAATAGACCTCATTCTTTTTCTATGCATTACCACCAAACCCAATGTCTATAACTTCTTTGGTGACCAATGTTGTCCCATCATTCATTGATTTATTTATTCAAAATATCTGTTTCACTCCTATTATGTACTAGGCACTGCCTTGGCCATCCATCCCCTACAGCTCTCAGAATAATTTCTACCCATTGCAAGGGCTTCATAAAGGTTTACTGCACAAATGATGCTTCTTTCCTTTGGATAAAAAGTATCTATAAAATTTGTGTCAGATTCAGTTTTATTTTTTGCATTCTATAAAGTTCATCCAAATTAATATCAGAGGTTGCTTTTCTGATAGTAAGAACTGGGATCTTAAAATACAAATAGTATCACTTGCTGGATATTGGAATGAATTATATGCTCAGCATAACATTTAAGGCCCTGAAGCACTTTATCTTCCCCTCCTGGTCCTTATAGATTCAAAATTCAAAATTACAGCCAAGCTGTTTCCAGAAGAACTCTGCCTTTTGTTCTGGAAAGCCTCGGCCTGGAAAACATTCCCTGCCCCTCCACATGGCATATGTCACTCACCCTTTAAGGCCCACCCAAAGTTCCTCCTTCCTTTTTTTTTTTTTTTTTTTTTTTTTTTTGAGACGTAGTTTTTGCTATTGTTGCCCAGGCTGAAGAGCAATGGCGCAGTCTCAGCTCACTGCAACCTCTGCCTTCCAGGTTCAAGCGATCGTCCTGCCATAGCCTCCAGAGTTGCTGGGATTACAGGCGTCCACCATCATGCCCGGCTAATTTTTGTAACTTTAGTAGAGACGGAGTTTCACCATGTTGGCCAGGCTAGTTTCGAACTCCTGACCTGATCTGCTCACCTCGGCCTCCCAAAGGGCTGGGATTATAGGCCTGCACCACCACGCCTGCCCCCCACTCTTTTTTTTTGTCGTTGATGGCTCATGATTACTACCAGGCAGTGACTTGGTCCATCCTCCACGCTTCCTGAATACCTTGAACAAGCAAATGTTATGGCACTTGGATTTGACTAACACATTGTAGCTTAAAATATATATATAATTAACTCTCCTGCCTTACACAGAGAAAGACGTACACTTCTGAAGGCTCACCTTACACTTCCCTCTGTTAACACAGTTCTGGACATGGGTGCTTGTTATTGGTCTTGAACCAGGCATTTTTTTTAAAATAAAAAATTTTTCAAATGCACGCAAAAGATGCTTGTTTCAATAGATGCTTGTTATTGGTCTTGAACCAGGCATTTTTTTAAAATAAAAATTTTTCAAATGCACGCAAAAGTGAAGAGAATAGTATAATAAATTCCCACAAATACATCACCCAGCTTTAAATTATCAACTCATGAACATTTTTATTATACCTTCCCTCCACCTTGGCACCAATGAATTACTTTCAAACAAATCAAAAGATTCAAGTCTATGTCTTAGAAAATATAACTACAATTACTTCATCTAAAATATTAAAAATAATTATTTAATGTCATTAAATATGCATCATTTCATTCAAGCATATTTTGTGAAAGAGCTGCTTAATGCCTGCATGTTATTTCTTCTATTTTGAAATCGTGGAAAGAACAGGGAAAAGGAGAAGGAGATCTTTGAGAATGCATAATAAGTTTCAAAGAGCCTAGGTGTCCTAGATGAGAAAGAATCTGACCTGGTTTGGGGTGGGAGAGATTTATTTCTCTACTTCTCCGGAGGAGGAGGGTGCGACTTCAGGCCGGCTGATGGAGGAGGAGGTGCGGAGGGGAGAGTGGTACTACCTCCGTTGGGAGTTCCTTCTGGATAATCCCACCGCGGAGCTAGGAGGCAGCGCTTTTTTGGAGGCTTGGCTTCCCGTGTGTTTCCAGGTGGGAGAGTGGATCTCCCGGAGGCACAAGGTTGGTCTCCCATAAGGATTATAGAAACAGGGCGTCAGTTTTCTCCGGTGGGCCCTGGCAAAGCCAAGAGACCTGAGATGGCGGCGGGTCCCCTCCAGGCACTGAGCTGGCTTCCTCCTGTTTCGCTCTTACCGTATTTCCTGTATCCTGAGACGTACATCCCTTCTCCGCCTCCACCCCTCCTCCCTACCCCATCCGATGTTAACGTTTCTACTAGGATGGGTGTTAAAAAGCGAGGTCGTTATTTAATATAGTGTTTTTTTCATCGCGCCCCACCCCCACTAAATGTAAATAAATTTATGGAGAATTTAATATAATTTATGAAATTTTAAGATGAGAAGAAATTCAAGTTTATCTTTAAGTGGTAAACTCTGAATGGCTTATATGTGTGGGAGGGACGCGGGGGTGGGCGGTAACCAAAGAAGAGCTTTACAAGCCAGCTGCAGATGCACATCACAGATCTGTGAAACTAGCTACGACCATTTAAAAAGCACTATGCAAACATGTAAGTTGACTAAAGTGCAGAACAGCACACCAGCACTAACTGTGGAAATTGAATGTGGAAAATGAATTCGCTGTATGTCACAGAATCTAAGATCAATTTTTCTTTATATTTTTAAAACAAATTGTAATTTTTGAAGGCTTACTGTATTTCTTCCCCCACATTTGAACATCTAGGAAATCTCTGCGACCTGACAATTGATGGTACACTATACTTTAGTTGACAACTTATTTTTTCTTTCTTGTAGGTGTGGAAAATAATAACCCATCTTACCACTGATGACATGTTATATTCTACGATTTATGGTAACCAGAAGAAAGTACCATGTGTCTCAGAAGAAAAGGCTTCTGGAACTTCTTAGACCTTCATTATTAAAATAGCCTACACATTCATACCCCTTTAGCTATGGACAAACTAGATCACAGTTTTTCAGGGTTGTCCTCAGCGGTTTTTGTTTGTTTCTTGGTTTTTTTTTTTTTTTTTTTTTTTTTTTTTTGTTGTTGTTGTTGTTTTTGTTTTTAATGAAGAGAGCTTAGTCCTTAATGTAAGGGAAGAAGTGGCTGTTACTCTGCTGTTTACAAGCTCTGCGCTCTTTAAGTAATTAATTAAATTCTTGGAACTTTGGTTTCCAAGCCATAATTTTTTCCTTGCAAAACTGTTGCCATAACCAGGGATAATACATGTAAAGCATTTACTACTATAACTATCTCTTATCTCCACCCTTGCTACCTTCCACCAAGTACCCAGCACAGCCCTTTACACAAATTAGGTACTCCGTAAATGTTTGGGAAATAAATGACCCTGCGGTTTTGTACCAAATGCTACTACGAAAGACAGAAAAGTCAGATGTAGTTCTAGCTTAACGAAAAGATGTGAGGGAGGTATTGAAAAGGCAGTATTTTAGAGCTAGAAGAGTATTTGGAACTAGACATACTGATGTGGGAGTCAGCAACATAGAGGTGATAGTTAAAGACAAGGGAAGGGATGATATCCCCAAGGGAAAATCAAGAGAAAAGATAATTGAACTAAAAACAGAATATTGAGTAATTAGAGACAGAGAGAAGAAAAGAAGCCTGCTACAAAGGCTGAGAAAGAGTGGTCAAAGAAGAAGATTCTAACCCAGTGTTTCTCAACCTTGGTGCCACTGACATTTGAGGCCAAATCAATCTTTGTAGTGGTGGCCAGAGTTTACCATTTAGCGATGTCTTAAGCCAATCCTCTGCCAACTATATGCCAGTACTACTCCCCACTCCCCGAGTTGTGATAACCAAAAAAATTTCCAAACATTACCGGATGTCCCCTTGGGTACAAAATTGTCCCCAGTTGAGAACCATTGGTCTATTCTTCCATCAAATTTGCTTCTTTCCTAGGTTTTTTCCTTTCATCTCAGTAAGTGCCTTTCACTCAGATATACAAATCAAAACTTGGAGTTTTTATTTTTAGAAACTGAAGAATATTTTATTATTTATTAAAGCAAATAAAGTAATATTTCCACAATATGTTTACATGGGTGTCTAAATCTTCAAGACTAAAGACATTAAGAGTTGCAATTAAGTTGTTCTATAGCTATAGTTTTAGTAAATTAAGAGAAATATGTGCCTAGTTAGTAAAATGACAGGAATTAAAAATTTTATCAACTTCAACTAGGTTTAATTTATGGTAAACATTTGACTTGAGGTGAAAATAATCCCAACTTAGAGCTGCTTCTATCAACATGGACTATTTATACCACAATTAGATGTATTTACTTATCTGTGTTTGTTTGTATGCTTTGCGGTAAAGCATACATAATATAGACTTTTGCATCTTAGCATTTTTTAAGTGTACAGTTCAATAATGTAAAGTATATTCTCATTGTTGTACAACCAATCTCCAGAACTTTTCCATACCTATCAAACAACAACTCTCCATTTTACCCTCCTTTCCACTGCTGGAAACAACCATTATACTTGCAATTGGACTTTTGTTCATTTTTGTTATATTAAAAAGGAGAGCGAAAGCCTTTATTATTCCAGGTTTCAGAATAGTTTTTTTTTTTGTTTTTTTTGTTTTTTTTTTTCCATCATCTTCACGTTAAACTTATTTTCAACATCAATGAACCAGCTGAATGTGAATCATGAAGCCAGAAGAGGGCACTCTTAGGTTGAAGGAACATAGAGGCCGATTTGAGAAGCGCTATAGTTCTGAATTTCTTTCATAATTTACAATGCTCAAAAGATGACAACAGAAAATAAAACTAAACCCACCTCTGAGTGATAGTAAACTGTTTTCATTTACTTTTTTAAATTGAGATGTTGGTTGATTAATTCGATTTGTTTCGAAAATTAGCTTTATTTTTTATTTTTTTAATTAAAAATTTTTTATTTCTATAAGTTTTTGAGGAGCAAGTGGTATTTAATTGCAAGAGTAAGTTCTTTAGTGGTGATTTGTGAGATTTTGGTGCACCCATCACCTGACCAGTATACATGGAACCCAATTTGATTTGTAGTCTTTTATCTCTCATACCCCTCCCACACTTTCCCCTGAACCCCCAAAGTCCATTGCATCATTCCGATATCTTTGCGTCCTCATAGCTTAGATCCCACTTATGAGTGAGAACATACAATGTTTGGTTTTCCGTTCCTGAGTTACTTCACTTAGAATAATAGTCTCCAGTTCTGTCCAGGTTGCTGCAAATTCAATTAATTCATTTGTTTTTATGGCTGAGTAGTATTCCATCATATATATATACTAAACCCACCTGCGAGTGATAGTAAACTGTTTTCATTTAGTTTTTAAAATTGAGAAATTGTTTGATTAATTTGATTTCTTTTGAAAATTAGCTTTTCTTTTTTGTAATTAAAAAAATTTATTTCTATAGGTTTTTGGGGAACAAGTGGTATTTAATTACACGAGTAATTATATATCTATATAATTATATATATTATATATATAATTACTCATGTAATTATATCTATATAATATATATAGACACATATATATATCACAATTTTGTTATAGATTCATTGTGTGATGGCATTTGGGCTGGTTCCATAGTTTTGCAATTGTGAACTGTGCTGCTATAAACATGCATGTGCAAGTATCTTTTTCATATAATGACTTTTCCTCTGAGTAGCTATATAGTAATGGGATTGCTGGATCAAATTGTAGTTCTACTATTAGTTCTTTCAGGAAACTTCAGACTGTTTTTCATAATGTTTATACTAGTTTACATTCCCTCCAGCAGTGTAGAAGTGTTCCTTTTTCATGGCATCCAAACCAAAATCTATTTTCTTAAATTTTTTGATTATAGCAATTTCTGCAGGAGTAAGGTGGTATTGTATTGCGGTTTTGATTTGCATTTCCCTGATCATCAGTGATGTTGAACAGTTTTGTATATGTTCGTTGGCCATTTGTATATCTCCTTTTGAGAATTGCCCTTAGCCCACTTTTTGATGGGATTGTTATTTTTTCTTACTGATTTGTTTGAGTTCATTGTAGATTCTGGATATTAGTCCATTGTTGAGTGTATAGATTCTGAAGACTGTCTCCCACTCTGAGATGTCTGTTTACTCTGCTCACTCTTCCTTTTGCTGTGCAGAGGCTCTGTAGTTTAATTAAGTTCTACCTATGTATCTTTGTTTTTGTCGCATTTGCTTTTGGATGAAAATGAAATGAATTCTTTGCTTAAGCCAATGTATAGAAGGGTTTTATCAATATTGTCTTTTAGAATTTTTATAGTTTCAGGTCCTAGATTTAAGTCCTTGATCCATCTTGAATGGATTTTTATATAACCTAAGAGATGAGAACAGTTTCATTTTCCTACATGTGATTTGCCAATTATCCCAGCACCATTTGTTGAACAGGTTGTCCTTTTCACAGTTTGTGCTTTTGTTTGCTTTGTTGAAGACCAGTTGGTGTAAGTATTTGGGTTTATTCTGGATTCTTTATTCTGTTCCACTGATCTATGTGCCTATTTTTATACAGGTACCATGCTGTTTTGGTGACCGTGGCATTATAGTATAGTTCTAAGTCAGTTAATGTGATGCCTTGGGATTTGTATTTTTTATTTAGTCTTGCTTTAGCTATGAAATTACCATTTAAATCTTGCTGCTTATTACTGGTCTTTTCAGGATTTCTAATTCTTCCTGATTTAAGCTTGGAGGGTTGTATATTTCTGGAAATTTGCCACCTCCTGTAGGTATTCTAGTTTGTGCGTGTAAGTGTTTTCTAGTTCCATATAAATTTTAGGATTTTTTTTTCTAGTTCTATGAAGAATGTTGATGTTATTTGGATGGGAATTGCATTGAATTTGAACTTGCTTTTGGCAGTATGGTTATTTTCACAATGTTAATTTTACCCATCTATGAGCCAAGGATGTGTTTCCACTTATTTGTGTCATCTATGATTACTTTCAGCAGTGTTTTGTAGTTTTCCTTGTAAAGGTCTTTCCTTGGTTAGGTATATTTCTAAGTATTTTATTTATTTATGTATTTATTTATTTATTTTGCAGCCACAGTGAAGAGGGTTGAGTTCTCGATTTGGTCCTTAGTTTGGTTGCTGTTGGTGTATAGCACAGCTACTAATTTATGTACATTAATCTTGTACCCCGAAACTTCGCTGAATTCATTTATCAGTTCTAGGAGCTTTTTGGAGAAATCT